TAGATGAAATTCAATGACACGTTAAAGCCTACATCAATATTTTGCATATGTATATCGTTCTACTCTCTCTCGTCACTTATCAAAGTTCGAATTTAGATGTATTTCTTTGTCCAGTTTTCCTTAAACTTAACCTAGCAAAAGCTGTTGAGGTGTAGCAAAAGAAACATGAATTAAAATATTGTATTCAAATGTAGATTTCTAGAGTTATCTGATTCCTCTATATTTAAGCTAGTTTAATTGAGAAACCCTAATTAGTGGTCATTTAAAACGATCCATAAGGCCCAGCGTTGCACTACAAAAGAGTTTTGGGTAAAAATAGAGTTTATTGGGCAATATCCAAGTCAAATCTTTCTCAAGAGACGGCAATAAAATACTCGCAAAGGTTTGCTTATGGGAAGTGGTAAGCGTATCTCACGTTAGAAGGCCACGATGAGGGAACAGATTCTGTTTCAGAAGGCAATAAGTTATGCTAGATTAAGCGTATCGCATCTTTTGTTCCATATTTATGGAATCTGCATGTAAAGGGCATTCGACGACGGCAAATAGGGTTGAAGGAAAGCAGGGATATATTTAATGGTAAGCTCAGCATAGGCTTTTCTCTGCAAAATTTTGATTAATCTTTTTTTGCAGTAGCGATAAATACTTACTGTTCATGGCCAAAATGCTTGCAATTGTATCTGATTTACATAGGTATAGATGATATATCATTGCTTGATATGGGCCTGTCAACAAAAAGTTTGGAGAAAGCCTACCTGTCTGGGTTAACTCGAGTCCACTTGATTGAATATTGAATGTTATTATGACTAGGAAATCCAAAGAGGGCGATAGGCTTACTAGAGGCCTCAGATTTCCATCGGATCCAATCACCAAGACCAATTCTTGGGGTAGAAGTAGGGAAGGGATCTTGGTCAACACTTGCGAGAGCAAAATATAAAGAATGAAGGGGATGTAATCGAAACAGAATAGCCAGAGTAGAACAATTCGGCTAGTCCTGAGAGCTAAAGTGGCCCGACAAGTGTGATTCTGCTTCGGTGCCGAGGAGCATGTGAACAATGTAAGAGAGGGTAAATATGCCACGAGGCGAGGAGCTGAAACACAGGCACTTGAGCATATATAAAGATGAGGCTAATAGGGATTTCATCTTCACTGCTTTCTGATTAAATTTTTGGTAACTCACTTGGTTTAGATGAGTAAAAGTACTAAAAGGGAAATGGAAAATGCCGGGAGCGTTTGGAGTAGAAGACGACTCATTCGTGTTCTGCTGGTGGTGGGACCACAGCTACAGGGACGGTGGCGTGATGAAGTACATAATCACTAACACTGCCTAGAAAAGTCCGCTTCAGCATATTTAAAGAGCGCGTGCCCATCACTATTATGTCCACACCAAGACGGTTTTGTGTGTCGACTATGCCAGCACCGATGTTGCTGCTACGCTTCACGTAAGCACGGTAGGTCATCTGATCTTTCAGGAAGTCGCTAAGCGCCGGATCTTGCTGAATAGTGCACATCAGGCGCTCCCCATAGTCATTGTACAGGTTTTGAGCCTTAAGGATCTGGTCTCGATTGCTTCCGTCCCTGGCGGGCTGTTGATCGTAAGAGACAAGTTCTTCAGTTGCCGGAGCATTATGGTGTGGCAGGATTTGCAGAAGGGCCAGCTGATCGCCCGGCTTAGCCAAGTGCCGAATGTACCAGTAGAAAGCGCGTTCGCTGTACTCATTACCATCGACTGCAAGAAGCACGTGCCTTGTGCTCGTCATTCTCCCTTCTGTGATGCCAACTTTATGCTCTTCTGTGAGAAATGGGGTGGATAAAATAAAATAAGTAAGGTTGCAGGAATAGCTTCAAATGACTGGCTGAACCGCAACATTTGCCAGAAATCTTAGGCAAAGTTCATTCGCCAGTGACGAGAAGAGAGAGCGAGAAAATACGCACACTCTGCGAGAAAATGGCTAGAGAGAGTCGGAAAAATGGAGGCAGACACATCCCAGAGTGAACGAATCACTTATCCATACATGTATTGCAGTAATGGCTCTAATGTGTGTCAAACCATCAATATAAGCCTGTGTATAGGAGCAGCCAATCGTATGCGAGTTGTTGTGCCCGCAGACGAGGATGCAGCTACAACTTCGTGTCCAAGCTTTCTTTTCCATCTTTTGGCAAGCATCCACTTCAAACCGTATAGCCAATTATATCATAAATCTCATACGTTTTCTCTACTCAATCGCACTTTGCAGACAAGTCTGAACGAGATCGATCCCAGACTAGGACGATTAGGATTGGCTCTGGAGGGATTGTAGGGAGGCGATTGCGGCAGTGGACAAGTTTATTCCAACTTGCCCTTTCATTGCTACGATAGAAACATTCCAACTGCGAATTCTACTACTGTTGGCCTTCGGGAGAAAAACAAGACAGTAGATCTATCAGATGGGAGGCAAAGTTCTGTGACTAATTTGCGAGCGAGAAAATAATGTAATCTTGGGCCTAGAGGGTGAGAGTTTTTATCAGCTGACCTAATGTAGTTTTGGTTAAATTGAAGGAAAGGAGGAAGATTGACGCTCGAAAAACAGTTTTTCTATGTACCAAAGAAGGAAAATTGTTTGATTTTAGGGACTTTTAAAAAAGACTGACGACTTTTCATGAGCACATTCCTGATTGATCACGTCTCTGAGAATAACCAATTCCATAATATTCTCCCTTTGTCATACTAAGCAATAGAGTAAGGTGATCCAAAAAATGAAAGTCCACACGACAGCGAGGCATGATTGGTTATAACTAATGGTATTACTTGAAATATACTTACTATGTAGTTTCTCATAAGAAAGTGTACAAAAAGTAGAACTTCTCTTCAGAGAATTGTATAGTAAATTGACGCAAATAGTGCTAATGACAGGTTGTTTTGAGATGCATGTACCTTAATTGAACAATCTTTAGAAATTATTTGTTATCAGATTGATATAGTAATCGTTATACTAGCATGTCCATCGTTTATCACGAGGCCTACTGCTTTGCCGTATAATAATCTAGGGCTTGTTAATCCTTGAATATAAGAGGGATAAGAGAGCACAGGGAATTCAGCGATTTCTTATACAAATGATCTGGAGAGGGAACTATTTACTTTAGTTATCAGAAATAATAAAATTTTTCGCATCACAGTCACTGCTTTATTTTTCCCTAGTAATTTTGCAATTAAATAATATAAGATGTTCTACCTTTAAGTTAATAGTCCCTCTATCATAATAATTATTTGAGTAGACATGTAGTCATCCCATGCCTAAATGATTCAAGGGCCAGTAGTTGAGTTCTCACATGGGTCTCAGGATGCCATTCAACTTCTTTTAGCCTTGCCTCCCAAAAGGCCCTTTCATCCAGGGTAACTACAGTTTAAAACAGTATCGAATCCTGTTGGGAGTACTGATGAGACTGAGGTTGAAGCTGCAGTCCAGCCTGAATAAAATAATCTTTTAAAAAGCAAGTTTAACTGAAATCCAAAGGCATACATACTGAGGCCTATCCATCTCATAATAAAAGATCTCGACTGTCCGTTCTTAAATCACCTTAATATACCTGGGATGACTAAGCTGTTATTCATAAGTAATTGATGATTTGAAAAATTACTTATACAATAAGTTGTACAGGGCTGGCAATGAGTTCATACACTTGACTCCGAATTTGTTTTCGCGAAAATCGTAGAACCTTGAATGCATAAGGGCTGATTAAATATTTTAATTTGCTATAGACAACTTGACTAAAGTCTTCGAGCTACCAAAATTAAGTAC